GAAAGTCTGATGTATGCCATGGTTTGTACCAGACTAGATATTGCTCAAGCAGTGGGAGCTGTTAGCAGGTACATGAATAATCCGGGCAAGGTACACTGGGAAGCAGTCAAATGAATACTCAGATATCTGCGGAGTACCACAAACAAAGCACTTTGTTTCAAAGGTGGAGATACGATACTGACAGGCTATGTAGATGCTGACTTAGCCGGAAATGTTGACATCAGAAGGAGCACTACATGGTATGTCTATACTCTAGGAGGAACCGCAGTGAGTTGGGTTTCTCAACTACAGAAGATAGTTGCTCTCTCCACAACTGAAGCATAATATGTCACTGTTACGGAAGCCAACAAGGAGATGGTTTGGCTCCAAAGTTTCTTGGAAGAGTTTGGCAAGAAACAAGAAAACTATATCTTGTATTGCGACAGTCAAAGTGCTATACATCTAGCAAAGAATCCATCTTTTCATTCCAGGACAAAGCACATACAATTGTGATATCATTTTATCCGGTCTTTTCTGGAAGATGGGATTTTGAAACTTGAAAAGATCAGTGGAGCTCAAAATTCGGCATACATGTTGATAAAGACGGTGACTACAGACAAACTGAAGTTGTGTTCAACTTCAGTTGGCATGCTAGAGTAACAAGACTAGAAAAGCTGTTGCATTGATCGAGGTGTGAAGACATATTAAAATCAGTCTTCAAGTGGGAGATTGTTGAAAGTATTGTTAAAATGGTTTTCAAGTTTTGCAACCAACTTTGAAAAAATGGTTTTCAAAGTTTGGTAAATGTTTCTTTGAAAATGGTTTTCAAAGTTTGGTAAATGTTTCTTTGAAAAATGGTTTTTCAAAGTTTGGTAGATGTTTGTTGAAAAATGATAATGGGATAATCACAATTAATTCATAGGCTTTAGGGTATTTACAAGATTAAGTCCTTAAGTTTCAATAATAAATACCCTAGCTCATTTAGCTTCAAAACCATCCCAAAATCCCAAATCATTTCTTTCTCCCAATACTAGAGAGTTTTCTTGTGAGTAGTGAGTGTTTTGTAAACACCTGTAAATTTTCTCTCTTAGTAAAAGATCTGCAGCAGTCCGGAGACGTAAGCACAATTGGCTGAACTCCGTTATCAATTTCGGGTATTATTTTTTCCGCTTTTATTTCGCATTCTCACTAATCTGATTATAGGGAAATTACTCGTACTCGGTTTATTTCCTAACAGATGGAGGAGAGAGAGAGCGAGAGATGTAACCTCATAAAATTCCAAAAATGTTAACATGACATTGAAGTCAATATCATCTGTCAACCTCGACCTGCACAGGAATGCATAACAGCAACAGAAGAAAGAAACAGTCTTATAGTCAACCAGAAACATAACAATTAACAACATAATGTTGTAGTACCTGGTAATATATACCCTTTACAGCCACAAAAACCTTTCGCAATTTATGGGTGCGAGAAATGTAAGCTTGCCATTCATGACACAACCTGACAAAGGACCAAGAATAGAAAGACAAGGGATTGATGTAACTGGTAAGATTCTAGAAGTTAACAATAAACGTATATGTTCTTGTCTTCTTACTCACTCGTTAAAAATAGAAACGAAAACCCAACCTTCGACCATTATGGATGCGCTTCGCTTCAATTTTAAGCCTATCAATGGTAGGCAACATTGCAAACAGGTGCACAATTGTAAGAGGATCATCCAAATCTCTAAGCGTGTCAATAAATGTCGGATATCTAAAATACCAATCATATCTTAGTCTAGGTACTCAATAATTCATATAAATACCAATGACAGAAAATAAAAAGCACAAAGACTGATTAACTAACCTATCACGGATGACCATGTCAAGTTTGTAAGAAGGTGCACGTGATGTAAGAAGCTTTGCCAACTCATCATTCTTTTTAGCCTTGGCTTTCTTTATCTTCTTTTTATACGCCCTAATTTCTCTAAACTTCTCAAGTAACGGATCGTGAAGAATGTACATGACATCCTTCAAGTGATAGTAAGTATGATGGTTTCCTTTCACCTTCTTCTTTGGTTCTCTTGGAAATACTCCTTTGTGAATGCATAACTTCCTGCAATAATTAATCTATTAAAACAAAACGAAGCCTACCATATTCAAACACAAAATGATACACCCCGCCAAAATAACTCAAGATCTTCTCCTATTCCATAAGTGTTTCATGCGTTTTGATGCTTCTTTGTTATTTTCATACCACATCATCCAGTTTTGATGAAAAGAAAAAACATATCCAATTAGAAAAAGCAAATGGCAAAAATATAGCATAAAGTAAAACATAGTAATAAATTCATGCTGACGTGCAGTCGTAACAATAAAGTTAAAACTTCTAAAATATTTTCTAAAACACTACTTTTTGCTTCAGTCAGCAAACGACAGGTAGCAAAACTAACAACTAAATGCTACCTGATGAACTAATCTCAGCTTAACGAAACTCAATAGATTCATAGCTAATTAGGCTGAGAAGCTAGAAATAATGTGAAAATGTGATTATAGAATGTAAACAAAGGAAGCTGGAATAAATAAACATTAAAAACTGGGAAGAAGATGTGAACCTGAAACCCGAGAGGCTAACTTGAAGGATTTTAATAGCCTATGTTCTTTGAGGTATCTAAATTTGAATATGATAGTGTACACTTTGAGTAGATGATATAATTAGGGATGGATTGAGAAGATGGATGGAAACATTCTTCCTAAAAGCTTTAATTCTTTCTATTTTTTAAATATTTTTTTTTTATAATTTTAGTAGAGGTGATTCGAGTTTTAAAAGATGATTTTAGTGGAAGGTTTTTTTTAAGTGGTACTTAGACACCTTTGTTGTCGGGATTGGAAATTTCATATCAGACATACTCGTCGAGAGGGGAATAAAATGGCGGATGCATTCGTTAGAAACGCAAGGCCGGATAATATGGAGGTTGTTTATCATGTTGATCCACCTATGTGGCTTCATGCATTACTTTTTGAGGATTCTATTTCCAGTTAATTGTGTTCTTGTTGTATCAGTTTGAGTACTCTTTTTCTTCATCTAGGATTAAGGAAGTTTTCAACGAGACATGAACTAATACCCCTGTGTAGGATTCTCCTTAAATAAAATCATACCTTTTCACCCAAAAAATATTTTTATAATTTTTGTTAACAATATGTTTTTGACTACTAAAGTTTTATAGATTTTTTTGAATAGAAGCCGCTAATATTATTAAAAAGTGATGGTTCCCGAAGTATAATCAATGGATTTGTTGCTTGTGGGGGTTATTCGATCCTCGAATGATCGTTGGATTCTTGGTTTCTCTAAATCTATTGGTATATGCTCTATTGTTGAGGTAGAGTTCTGGGGTGCTCATGAAGGTCTTACTCATGCTTGGAACCTTGGTGAGAGACAAATGATGTTGGAAGTGGATAGCTTGGAGGTTATTCGTATGTTGCAGCAAACTCCTCATAGAGGTTCGCCCTTTACCCTTCTGGAAAGAATTAAAGAGCTGATAAACCGGGAATGGAATGTGACCTTGAGTCACATTAATTGGGCTACTAACCAGGTTGCTGATAAGCTAGCGAAGATGGCAATAACAGGATGTGTTGCTGACTCGGTTTACTCCACGCCACCTTTGGAAATTGCTCCTCTCTTGCAGCAAGACTACATTGTTTCGTGATTTGGAAGCTGCTATTTAAGATTTAGTTTACTCTCTTATTTCATCAAAAAAAAAGTGAAAATATCCAAAATAACAATTAGATGCGCGATTTTACGTTTATGGATAGTTTCTCACGACGCTCGGCTTTGATTTGCGATTCTCGGTGGTCTTTCAATAGCTTAATTACCTTTTTTTGTTTATTTGCTGATATAATCAGATTTATTCGTATCTATTTTTGTTTAAGTCTTTTGATTGGATTTTTAACCTTTTTTTATGTATGGTCCTTGTATGATCTAAAGTGACTAGTTTCAATGTTATAGGAAAATGTCCAAATTATGTGTTTAGTTTACGATGATAGTTGTAAACTTTTAAATTCAATCCGAACGTCCATACAAAGGAAGATCAATGAAATTTCAAATAAGTATCATCTTGATCAGTCGTAACGCGTCAAATTCAATTCTAAGAAAACATAAATAAAAGAACAACCAAACGAAATGGGAAAACGAAAAACATGCCACAAAAGCGGAGATAAAAGTGCCAAAAAGACAGAGATAAACGTGTCACAAATACATAATTACTCTTATTAAATACTAAAAATGCAAAGAGAAAAGAGAACTGGTAGTCGACAACCAACATCAAAATCAATGTAACCGTCGACTAAACAAAATAAAAACAGAAACAAATTAACCTAATATATATAAAACGATATAAATTCAAATAAAAAAAAGGAAGGGGAAAGATGTTAGGGCTCTATAAATTCATTTTTTTTAAATTTATCTATTAATATAAAATCTTATACATATCCTTAAATATAATCTTCCAAAAACTTGTAACATCCATAAAAATTAATATAAATTATTTCAAACTTTTTTATAAATAACACTCTTCTTTATCACTAAGATTATTTAATTAATTTAATATATATATATATATATATATATATATATATGACTTGTTGACCTTTTTATCTAGAATTTCGAATGTTATTTGATGAATCATATTGTCGTATTTATTACAGGAGTAATGTACGAGTGCCATAGAAAAAGTAGAATATAATAAGCATTTAATGTATCTCATTTTCTTTTAATAAATTAGATACAAATAGCTATAAAGAAAAGGACAACAGCTCTTAAAATTTAGGTAAAACCCACATGTCCCCACTCCCAAAGCACAACGCACCAATTTTGCAGAAAACAAAAAGGGGGTATTTTCCCTCCCTCTTTTAGGCACAGGAATCTAAGTGCAACTTGTTCCCCATGCAAAGCCTCAGCTCACCATGTCATCCTCAACGTGTCTTCTCATTAAACCTCCCAATTCCTCCATAAAACCACAACCCTATTCCCCCGTTTCTCTCCATCTCTTCATCTACACATTTTGCACAAGTTCATCAAGCCTTGTTGTCTTCTTCTCTTTTAGCAATGGCCGAAATTCGTGATCGCAACCAGCCTCACCAGGTTCAAGTTCACCCACAGTACCGTTACGACAACCCGGCCGGAGTCGGTTACGGTGGTGGTGGGAAGAACTATCACGGTAGCGGACCATCCGCAACCCAAATTCTATCGGTCCTCACGCTTCTGCCCGTCGGTGGCACACTGCTTGCGTTATCGGGGTTGACGTTAGCCGGCACCGTCATCGGGCTACTAGTAGCGACACCGGTCTTCCTCCTGTTCAGCCCGATTCTGGTCCCCGCCGTCATAGCCATTTCCATGGCGGTGGCGGGGTTCTTGTCGTCCGGGGCATTCGGGTTGACGGGGTTATCGTCGTTGAATTACGTGTTGAATCGGGTGAGGTATGCGACGGGGACGGAGCAGATGGACTTGGAGGAGGCACGGAGGAGGATGCAGGAGCGGGTGCAGGATATGGCGGGGTACGTGGGGGCAAAGACCAAGGAAGTGGGGCAGAAGATCGAGAGTAAGGCACACGAGGGACAGGTTACGACCGCTAGGACATGAAGCTGAACAAGGTGGATTAATAAAGACCTGCCTTTGAGAATAAAATGCAGGCTTTGGTTTGAGTGGCACAATTACTGCATTATATTACGTTTTTGCGTTTAAATCCTTGTATTCCAATTACCAGTATATTATATTATGCACGTCTGTTTTTGTGTTTAAATCCTTGTATTCCATTTATGTATGTTTTTGACACTAAAATGTGACTCCATCGAAAATTATTGTGGCTTAAAAAATTATTAAATTTAACTTGTGCAACTTATTTAAAGTGGCTCCTCCGAAAAATATTGTTGAGTTCCCTTATTGATGGTAAGGTGTATGAAAATAATCAATCGTAGAACTAAAGCTCAAGAACTCAAGAGGCAGGAGGGTTTATGCAAGAAGGCCTTTACGACGAGCAGTCGAGAAGGTCCGGTCCTACAAGAAAATGAAGCTTAATGTGAAGATGCGCAGAAAAGAGTGAGTTCTCTTTGTTCCGACACTTCATTTGTTTTGTATAATACATTCATCTAAAACTGCATTTTTTTTGTTCTGCCTACTTGCCTCAAATTGTGTAAGATTTTTTTGTATACATTTACGGGTTGAATGTGTAATACTTGGGCAGAAAAACTCTGTAGGTCTTGAAAGAAATATGCTCGAAGTAGCATCGAAATCAAATCATACAAATACAAGTGATCAACAAACATTTGCACAAACTTTCGAGTTTTCCCACATTGACAAGAATAATAGCTCTTTAAATGTTTAAAGTTGACAAGAATAATCGCTCTTTAATTGTTTAAAGAACTTGTCTCTACAATTAACCACATTTGCGGTGAATGATACATAGGGATGACAAACGTGGATTCTGCACTGTACTCTTTCCAGACCCAATTGAGACGGGATGAGTATAACTTTAGTGCGTAAGTGGACAGTGGGCGGGTGTGAATTTAGAAAGTGGTACTCGTCGCAGGTAGTGGGCGGGTGATAGGTTTGAGATTTTACCCACTTCGCATCCGCCCGTCCCACTAAATACCCATTAAATTTTGAACCATTATGAATTTAGGTATAATTTTATAGACTAATTTAGAAATCTTAATATTGTATAAAATATAACTTATACTTTATGTACTTTAAGATCTATGTTAACACTTAGCTTAGATAATCATTAGTTTATTTTATTATGCTTCTTAATGGACGTGTTTGTTTTATGTTTGTTGTTTATTTATAACTTAAGGTTGCTGTCATGCCGGTCTAGTCAAGTACGTCTCCAGTTGGGTCCAGTTGGGTAGTGGGTGTGGATTTGAGAATGTACCCGCGTGTGGATTTGAAAATGTACCCACATAGGCGGGTGTGGATTTAAATTTTTTTACCTATCATGGGTGTGCAGGTGATGGATTTGAAAAAATATTAGATGGGGATAGAGGAGGGAGTATCCGCACCCGACCTACTCGTTTCACATCCCTAATGATATGATCGTAGACTTTGTATACTTGAGAGTTCTTTTCAGCAACGTTGACCACAAGACGAGTAGTTAGGAGGTCTTCGGCTTTTCCAAGAAACTGAAGATCATGATGATGTCTGTTACGATCGCGTAGGTCAGGTTTTCCTTTATATCATTCTAAGGGTGGCTTGAAGTGCCTATCACATTTGACGAGAGAGGAATAATAGAATCTTTGAGCGGGGGAGGAAGAATGTTGCCGATATGGTTCTTGAGGTCAGGGAAAACATACGGTTGAGGTTTAATGATGCACTGATAAAACGGGGAGGCATAAATGATATTCTTTGTAATGCCTGGGGTATAGTTGGTTTTGGGGGAGGTTGTTTAGTCCCGTATTGAACATAGAAGATGAACAATTACAACTCATTTCTGACATTCAATCTTCTTGATGAAAAGATGAACAATTGAATCGAAAGTGCCGATGCTTCCTATGTTAGCATAATGAGTTAATGCATGTTGTTTAGTGATTTTAGAAATTTGTTAGCAGTTAAGGCTGTTAATGTTTAGTTGAGGTTGTTAATGGTTAGTTACAAAGTCTTTTAAGACTATAACAACTATAAAGAGTTGTATATAAACAGCAGAGGAGTTGTAAACCAGATGTGGTATTCATTTTCTGTTCAATATACTTGTATTTTGTGTTTTTTCACTAAATTGGTTGTAGCAACGGCTATAACGTTAGGCAGTTAGTTGGTTGCAGCATGAGTGTAATGTATATAAAGCAAGAACTATACTTTGTAAAATCATATTATCAATTTCATTCAAAGCATTCTTTACAGCAGTTTACTATCTTAGATAACATTTCAATATGGTATCTTTCGCCAAAGGTCTTGGATTCTAAGCTCCGACTGCGGTAATGGCGCTTGACAGTCCGAATGTCTCCTCAACATCTGGAGGAGGTTCGTTGGTGCGCTCGCTTGTGTTCACTAACAAGAAAGTGAACGTCGTCTTGGTATGAGATGAACTTCTTGCTGTGGAAACAACAAGTACTGCTCACAGTTCGAAGTCATCGCTTGGAAAGGATGTTGACTGGCTCGATGGTGGCACCACCAGAGACTGTGGTCGATCAGAATGGTGAGGTTGTGCTAAATGAAGCGTTTGAAGACTTCATGGCCCAGGACAGTGCGCTCGCATCCTGGTTACTATCCACCATCAGTCCACAACTATTACCTCAATTCGTTGGTGTTGAGACAACAGCTGCCGTATGGAACAAGGTCACGCAGTTCTTTGCTAACCGCTCCACCACAGCAGTAATGAATCTGCTATACAAACTTCAATCTCTCAAGAAAGGAGATGATAGTATGCGTGTATATATCACACGTGTTAAAGAAGTGTGCGATGCGCTGGAATCTTGTGGAAGTCCTGTTGCACCAGTTGAGCAGATTGTAAGTGTGCTTAAAGGACTACCTCGTGAATACCAGTCCTTTATGGCGGTTATAACCACCATACGTGAGAAACCTACTCTCGATGTTGTTAGTAACATGTTAATTGATGCTAAAACTCAATTGGTTGGATTTGAGTTTTCAGCAGACAACCTTCCAATGAGTGCACATGTGGCACAGGCTGCTAATAGGTTCACTTCTGGTTCAAGAACCAACCAAGAAGGTAATCGCAAATCTTACTCGGGTGGTTGATCAGGTGGTCGTAGTCGAGGTCGTCCCTGAGTGCATTGTCAATTGTGCGGTAAGACTGGGCACTTAGTTCAACAATGCTGGTACCGCTTTGATCGTGATTTCCTTGGTGATGGCAGTGATGCATAACAATATAAAGCCAACTCTAGCAGTGTTAATTTTGCTGACAGCACACAGTATGACTCCTACAGTGAAGGAAGAGCCACTGAGCTCCCTCAAGCCAATGCAGCTTCTTCTTCGCGTAAGCATTGGGTAGTCGATTCAGGTGCCACGCACCATGTGACGCCAGATGTTGTCAAGCTAGCTCAACCATCTGACTATAGGGGACCAGGTAACCTTCTTGTTGGCAATGGTGCTTCTCTTCATGTTGAAACCGTTGGTAACGCTTTAGTTTTTTCTCGGTCACAAGCACTAAAGTTAACCAATATCTTACATGTGCATGAGATAACTAAAAATCTACTTTCGGTGTCCAAGCTTGCTAGGGACAATCGAGTCTTTCTTGAATTTCATGCCAACGATTGTTGTGTTCGAGATGAAATTACTTGCAGTGTTCTACTTCGAGGAAAACAGAACGGGGGCCTTTACTTGTTCGAGCTGGCTGACGGCAGGCATCCGGTTAATAACCAAGATAGTGTTAGCTTAGCTACTACCTCCGAGGCGCTTGATTTGTGGCACAAACGCTTGGGGCATCCCTCTCTTCAAACACTAAAAGATGTTTGTAAAAAGCTACATGTAAAAATTTCAACTAATTCCAATAAAGTTTGCTCGGCTTGTTGTATTGGGAAAAGCCATAAACTGCCATTTGAACACTCGCAGACGGTATATTCTGAACCCTTTCAACTTGTGTTCTCTGATTTGTGGGGTCCCGCACCTACTCCTTCAAACGGTTTTCGATATTACGTTGCCTTTGTAGACGCATGTACTCACCATTCTTAGCTCTACTTGCTAAAAGATAAGTCTCAACTTCTAACTGCGTTCCAATTGTTTAGGAGTATGGTGGCTACACAATTTAACCTCTCTATTAAAGCCATTCAAAGCGATTGGGGTGGTGAGTTTAGACCCCTGAATACCCTTCTGGCCAAAGAAGGGATTATGCATCGAGTAACATGCCCACATACCTCTGAGCAAAATGGGGTTGTGGAGCGAAAACATCGACATTTGATCGAGCTCGCCCTTGTTCTTCTTGCTCAGGCTACGTTACCATTAAAATTCTGGTCTTATGCTGTGACCACAGCAGTCTATCTTATTAATAGACTTCCCACTCGAGTATTGCAATGTACTTCTCCATTTGAAAGATTGTTTAACAGGAAACCTGATTATAATTTTATGAAGGTGTTTGGTTGTAAGTGCTTTCCACTTCTCCGGTTGTTTCAAAAGCACAAGTTCATGTTTCGTTCCCAGCAGTGTACCTTCCTAGGCTACAGTCCTCAGCATAAGGGCTACCAATGCCTGGCAGCGGATGGACGAGTTTACATATCTCGCCACGTTAAGTTTGATGAACTAACATTTCCTTTTGCAGAATTTTAATTCTCTCGTGGTTCAGGGAAGAAGAATTTGCCTGCCTTAGATGTAATTCTGCAGCCGAAACGGTTACGTGTACCTATGGCTTCTTCACATGCAAACGCCTCTCCTGGGATTACATTGACCCCCACTTCTTCTCGTGATCTCGTCATGCCTACTGAGTCAAGTCTACAATCAACTAAAAACCAACATGCCTCTCCTTCACAAGCATCGGTGTCTCCTTCTACAACCCTGACTCCTCATGAAGAAACATGTCATGAGTCACGTGCACCTGAACAGCCTGAAGCTGAGCCGGTTGTTATATCTAAACAACCTGTAGCTGAGCCAGTTGTACCTGAACAGCCTGTAATTGAGCCAACTCTGGTGTCACAATCGAAAACCACAACC